CTGGAGAACTTGAGGAACCTTCTGTCAGTGGGTGAGGATGGTGCCCTATGTCCTTTGGCAATGTCAGAAGTTCACATTTATTGTCTTGGTTACACTCCACTGTTTTCCTTTTAGGTTTATTTATTTTGTATCTTATGTATATTTGAGTGTTTTCTCTGCCTGTGTGCACCACATTTATTCATAGTGTCCAAAGAGTCCAGAAAAGGGCATTAGATCCCCTGGAACTAGAATAGCAGATGGTTGTGAGCCATCATACTCTTATTGCTGAGCCATCTCTCCAGCTTCCATTTTATCTTTGAAAACTACATTTTCCACATAGATACTGTGCTTCAAATAAATAAAAAAAAAAAAAAAACATTTGAGTGTGAGTGTGTGTGTGTGTCTCTCTTAGTCAATGCCATGACCATGGCAACTCATAGAAATGAAAGCATTTAATTGGATCCTCTTTAGTGTTCTGAGGTTTATTCCATAATCATCATGTCAGGAACATAGCAGCAGGCAGCAGAGAGTTCTAAACCAGACCTAAAGGCATCCTAAAGAGGGAGACTCTTTGCCTGGCTTGGCTATTTAAAACTAAAGCCCTCCCACCCCCCACCCCCCAGTGACACATGTCTTCCAAAAAGGCATCACCTCCTGATCCCTGTCAAGCCTTGTTATTCCATATGGACCAAACATTCAAACACATGAACCTGTGGGCCATACCAATTGAAACCACCACATTCCACTCCCTTGCCTATAAGCTTTAGCCAGATCAGAATGCAATATGCATTCAGTACAACCACGAAAGACCCCACGGTCTATCACAGGCTCAACCCAGTTTAAAAGTCCAAAGCTCAAACCTCTTCTGCTCTTGCAATTTCTTCACTGTAACCCCCAGTAAAATAAAAATCAATAAGCAGATCACATAATTCAGCATTCAATGGCACAGACTATGTGGTTCTAAAAGGGAGGAAAGGAGCACAGTGAGGAAATACTGAACCAAAACTAGAACTGAAACCAAGAGAGCAAACTCCAAACTCTGCATCTCCCTGTCTCATGTCAAAGCGCTCTTCAAGATCTCCACTTCCTTTCAGCTTAGTGGGCTGTAACACACTTCTTTCTCCTGGGCTGGTTCCACTCTCTATTAGCATTTCTGGCCAGGTGTCCCATGCCTGTGGCATCTCTAACCTCTTGGGGTCTGCATGGCAATTCAGGCTTCGCCTTCACAGCTTCACATGGTGGCCTCTCTAGGCCTCTGTGCAGTGACACCTCCGCCATGGCCTGGTCTCAATGGCTTTTCTTAACTACAGAGAGTTTTCACAAAGTGTGTTCTTGACCCAGAGAGGTACATGCAGCCCCAGATGCCCCAGCACTGCTTCTGCTTCCCCCCGCCCCCAACCTTAGACTACCATTGTGCCGCTCTCTGCCTCGGACCCTTGGCCTCCTACTTTACTCAGTAAAATCAATTTCTTTTCTCAGTTTTTTGTTCTGTGGCAACATCTTTCTATGTAACTCAGGCTTGCCCAGAAATTTGTGATCCTCCTGTTCCAGCTTCCCAAGTCAAGAACTATGGTAACAGGCTTCATCCACTGTACCTGACTGAAACCCCATCTTCCTAGTGCCCCACACTCCAGCTCTGCTGATCTTTCTCTTTCTTTCTTTCTTTTTCCCTCTTTCCCTCCCTCCTTTCCTTCCTTCCTTCCTTTCTTCCTTTCTCTTTCCTCTCTCCCTCCCCTTCCCTCCCACCTCCCTCTCTCTTTTTCTCTCTTCTTTCTTTCTCACTTTCTCTCATTCATTCTTTCTTTCTCTTCCTCCCTCCCTCCTTCCTTCCCTCCTTCTTTCCTTTCCTGCTTCTGTCTTTGTCTCAGCTGCTGTAGCTTGCTTGTCTCTTGTCCAGAATGTTCTTCCCTGGTGCAGTTCCATGCCTGACCCCCCCCATCTGTGTGTGTCTGTGTGTCATTCGTTGGCTCAGAGTTCCTCACAGCCTCTGCTCTAAAACACAGCTCTAAATTCTGCACTTGACTCTGCTGGTGTCTGAGCACCTCAAGACTTGTTACCATGGATTTAGTTTTACTTGTGGTGACATGCATGGAATTCCTGAGTGTTTGCACACTGTGAGCAATGGCTCCAAGAAGCCTGTGGTCCTTGTGATGCTGCAGCAATGTCCATTCCACAAAAAGCCCTTCATGTTCCTCACAGGAGCATCCCTTTACCTCCTACAACCCTATTCCTCTACCTTTCTCCCACTGACATTAACCTTTCCCAGTGTGTGATGCAAGCCACCCAGCTCATCCCAGGATCAGTGGATCTTCCACTTCGGTTTGTTTTTGTTTTCAGCTTCAAAGTTGTTCAGCTCACCTTCCTTGTTTTCCCTTGTGGTAGTTTCTTCTTCAGTCATTTTGTCGTTTCCTTGGGGGACCTGTTGCAAACTTTGTTATTCTATCAGGACATCTGCTGCTTTAGGTTGGTAGGTGAGATCTACCTTATTTTTGAACCCCTTCACCCTGCTTCTTTGTGAGCCTGGCAATCTTAGGTTGGAGGGCAGGCATCTGAAGGAAACCCACTCCCTGCTGCCCTTGCATTCTGACTTTTTCCCAGAGAAGACCTTCCCTAATCAGCAGGCATGTTTTGAGTCTTGCTATCTAAATGCCTTAGCTCTCTTCTTGTAGTATCAAAGCAAGCTTGTGTGTTGCAGTCATTGCAATCTCCTTACATATGTGACTGCTCTTAAACACAGTGGCTTTCTCAATCTGCACATCGATTTCTGGGCCTTTTCTGTTCCCTGAAATTTCTGTACATGTTGGCTCTTCCCACAGTCTCTGAAACTCCCTTTGCCTTCTCATTACACTCTCTTATCTTGGCTCTGAGTCAGGTGAACCAGACTGGTCTTCATGTCACCTGCAGACAGGTTAGGACCAGGCAGGTCTGGTTTTCTCTGTTCCTCCAGCCTCAGGGAGGAGTTCCACCACATGTGTACTTCAGCCCACACCATCACTCAAGGAGAAATGCCCAGATGCTCAAAAGTGCTGCCTTACCTTTCTCCATCTGTGCTGCTACACACAGGCACGGTGAGGCAGGTGCTCAGCAGAGGCTGAAGGTGACCTTGAGCTTTTGATCCTTGGCTCATCCTGTATTTCCCACCATGGTCATATGTGGCTTATTCTTGAGTGTGTATTCTCTTTGTTGTAGATCTTTGATCCTTAGAGCTCTCAGACACTCATTTTTGATGTTGGTCTCTGGTTAATATTTCCAGAGAGAAATGAGGACTCAGACCCTCAATGTCCCCATCCTTGCTGACATCTCCTTCTTTCTCTATTCTCGCAGGAGGCCAGAATCCAAACAAGATGGAGATTCTTCACGCAACAAATTTAAGGTGCCTTTCACTGGGGCGGCTTCCAGGCTGGCAGATGATAAGTCATCATGTCAACAAACCGGCCAGAACTCCAGAAGTTGTTGGTTCTCACTTCTTAGAACACTGCCGCTTCTCCTGCCTCAGGGGAGCAGAAGAGCTTTCCCAGGACTCCGAGGACAATAGCTGTCCGGAGAGTCTCACAAGCGACCATTCCAGCAATACTGAAAATCAGGAATTTCTGTCTGATAGAGCTCAGAGTTCTTGGAGAAAAACACATCTAAGCCAGAGACAGAATCATCAGAAACACTGTCCAAAGACTCTGGTGAAAAACAAGCCACAGCTGTTGGCACCTGGAGATGACATTTTGAGTCGCATTTCTCACTACAATAACAGTATACTGCATAAAAGAGACAAAGCCCACAGCAGCGGTGACTGTAGTAAAGTCATCTGTCCCACATTAACCATTACCCAACATGGTGTTCACACAGAACGGAAGACCTACAAGTGCAGCAAGGGCGGAGAAGCCATCATTGATAGCCCCCGTTTAAAACTCCATCAGAAGGTCCTCTTAGGAAAGGGGTCCCCTGAACCTAGTACATACAGTGACACCAGGCATAGCTCCAGTGTCTCCATTCAACAAAGTGTTCAGTCAGGAAAAAAGCGCTACTGGTGTCATGAGTGTGGCAAGGGATTTACTCAGAGCTCGAGCCTTCAGACTCACCAGAGAGTGCACAGTGGGGAGAAGCCTTACACCTGCTCTGAGTGCGGCAAGAGCTTTAACCAGAGCTCGCACCTGTATGCTCACCTGCCCATTCATACAGGGGAGAAACCCTATACATGCAACACCTGTGGGAAAGGCTTCAGCCGCAGCTCGGATCTCAACATTCACTGCCGAGTGCACACTGGAGAGAAACCTTACAAGTGTGAGGTGTGTGGGAAGGGCTTCACCCAATGGTCTCATCTCCAGGCCCACGAGAGAATCCACACAGGAGAGAAGCCATATAAATGTGGAGACTGTGACAAATGCTTCAGCTGTAGCTCAAACCTTCACAGCCACCAGAGAGTCCACACTGAGGAGAAACCCTACAAGTGTGATGAATGTGGAAAGCACTTCAGCTTGAGATCTAACCTTCACAGCCATCAGCGTGTCCACACAGGAGAGAAGCCATATAAATGTGAAGAGTGCGGAAAGGGCTTCAGTTCAGTCTCAAGCTTCCAAAGCCACCAGGGGATCCATACAGGAAAGAAGCCATTTTGCTGCAATGTGTGTGGGAAGGGCTTCAGTCGGAGCTCATATTTTCGAGCCCACCAGAGAGTTCACACTGGGGAAAAACCCTACAAATGTGAATTATGTGGAAAGTGCTTTAGCTGGAGCTTTAACCTTCACAGTCACCAGAGAATGCACACACGGGAGAAACCATACAAGTGTAAGGTGTGTGGGAAGGGCTTCACGCAAAGATCACATCTCCAGGTCCATGAAAGAATTCACACAGGAGAGAAGCCATACAAGTGTGGAGACTGTGGGAAACACTTCAGCTGTAGCTCAAACCTTCACACCCACCAGAGAGTCCACATGGAAGAAAAGCCCTATAAATGTGAAGAGTGTGGGAAAGGCTTTAGTCACGCCTCAAGTTTGCATGTTCATCAGAGTGTCCACACTGGTGAGAAGCCATTCAAGTGCAATGTGTGCCAGAAACGGTTCAGTCAGGCCTCACACCTCCAGGCGCATCAGAGGGTGCACACAGGGGAGAAGCCCTTCAAATGTGACACGTGCGGGAAAGCCTTCACTCAGAGGTCCAATCTCCAAGCCCATCAGATTACTCATACTGGGGAGAAGCCGTTCAAGTGTGAGGAGTGTGGAAAGGAATTCAGCTGGAGTGCAGGGCTTACTGCTCACCGGAGGATCCACACAGGACAAAAACCCTACATGTGCCAGCAGTGTGGAAAGGGCTTCAGTCAGCCCTCGAACTTCCACATGCACCAGAGGGTCCACACTGGGGAGAGACCCTACATCTGCAGCATCTGCTCTAAGGGCTTCAGTCAGAGATCACATCTCGTCTACCACCAGAGGGTCCACACTGCAGGGAATCTCTAGGTTTGTTTTGCTGTCAGATGGGCTTCCTGCTGCTTGCTGCTTGTTTAAAAAATTCCCCCCCAAACCCAGAGACTTTGGGAGACTTCACGGGGAGATGTGTTTCAGTTTAAGAGATCAGTTCCTTTGCAGGGGTAGGGGGTGGCTGTTCAGGAACCTGCTCTGTAGACCACACTGGCCTCAGATTCACAGTGATATACCTGCCACTGCCTCCCAAGTAATGCAATTAAGGTTGTGTACTAGCACCAATTGATTTCGAGATCAGTTATTTACAGATGTCAGAAATCATAAAAGAGAGGAAAATTGCTGTATAAATATGTTCATCATGCTCAAAGAGTTCCAAGTCTGCTGCCCTCAATAGGGAAATCTCAGCATCCATCCTGGTCTATGCAGAGAGCCCTCAAGGTAGGCTTTAACCAAAGTGGTCATTGGCAGAACCAGTGTTGATTGAAGCATCACTTCCAAATACAAAGAGCCCCTCTGTATCTGCTGTGCAGAGCCGCATGTGGCTCATGGTTAAGCCATTTCTGAAGCGAGTGTAGATGTGTAGCCATAATGTTATTGGGCTCTATTAAAAGATTATAGTTATATTATTCAGTGCTGATATCAGTGCCCTCATATCTGGTTGTAATTCTTATTCTGAGGATCTTCTGTCTCAATGCTGTATAACCATTGTTCCCCTATTGTTCCCTGATACATCAAAAAAGAGCTGAACAGCCAGTGACTGAGTAAAGGAGAGAATGGAGCTGGACTTCCTGACAGCCAGGGGATGGGTAGAAAGAGGAAGTGGGGCATTCAGCTACAGAGAAAGGTTCAGGAGATGGCATGACAAAACTGTTGAAGCAAAGAAAGTCATAAAGTGCAAGTATCTTGGGGATTTTGGCTGGGAGGTAGCCAGATTTGATTAGAGGATTTAAATAGAGTATTAATTTTTTAATATTGTGCTATAAAGCTTGTTAAATCAATAACAAAATCTAGTCACAATTATTGTGGAGCTAGCCAGGGTAGGGAAAACTAAATTTACACTAAGATTTTTGCACTCAATGTAGGGCAAGACTTTACATAAAATCCCAACTGAGATAGAAACAAGTATTCCCAAGTATAGAGCAGTTTCTTAGCTCTCTTCTTAATAAGTGCCAGAGCCCAGCAGCAGAGTTGAATGGTTCTTGAGTCGGGAATGAGGATTGAAAGAAAAATTAATAAACCAACACACTACACATGAGATCTTCCTGAAGAAGGCTCTAGTAGAAAAGTAGTTGCCAGTTTATTCCAGTAATCCCGTTTTAAGTTAGAGCAAAAGCACCTCAGTACAAGAATAAATTCACAGGCACGCCAAAACTTCTTTACCTTGACCACCTGTCTGTGTGATCATCACACAAACAAAAGGTGTGAACTTAAGACATCCCACCTGCTGTCTTAAACAAAAAGAGATAGACTCAGCAGCTTATCACTGACTCCAGTGAAGGTTGGGGAGATCAAAGCAGCCTGGCAGACCAGCGGCTACCCACAAATAAGAAAAAAATAAATAAAAATTAGTTACTTAACAACAGCAGTTTTTTAGGCAGCAGCTCCTGGCTCTTTGATGAGACACCTGCCCTGTTCATGTGCAGCAAGGCCCAGGCAGGCAATGCAGAAGCAGTCCTTTTAAGACACAACTCCTGAGGAAAAAAACGAGACTAAAACTGCCTCTTTAACACTGGGAAGCTTCCCTATGTTTTCTAGCCATTCAGGAGGCTAAATACTTTTGAGAAGGAGCTCACGCTAGCCAGAGGAACAAGCCCTCTTCCTAGCCAGGGGAAAGGGATTCAGTGAGACAGCTTCCAGTTGCAGCTTGGGTGGCAGAAAAGCTGCTCCCTGTAAAGAAAAGGACATGGGAGGGCAGCTCAGAGCCTGGAAAAGCAGAACTCAGACAGAGATAAAGAACAAAATTTCTGAACATGTAAAAATTGTTTCAAGTTACGTTTTAATGCTAAAAAGGGACAGATTGGAGGTGAAATTTCATAGATATAATTTCAAGTTGATAGATACAAAGGAAATAAGACATAAAGATGAGATGCACAATGATACAGATCTTTTGTATTTTATAATTTTAAGTGGTACAAAAATAGAAATAAAAGATAAATAGATACTTGATCTAACTAAGATGGATACCTTACTAATTATGATTATTATGTTGGTATTTATTATACTAATCTTAATAATCAATGGGTTTTTTATATCTTCTCAAAGGAGAGGGCTTTAGAAAAAGAGAAATATGGAAATTGGAAACTAGCTCTAGAAGAAAAATTACAAAAGTTTATAAATCAGAATCAAGAAAATGCTAAGATAATAGAGCTATGAAAATGGAGACAGGCCTTACATGAAAAATTAGAGAAATGTATAAACAAAAATGAAGATACTATAAGAATAGAGCTACAAAAATGGAAATATATAAAATGAAAACACATTAGAGAAAAAATTAGAACAAGAAAAGGAGAAATGGGAGAAACTGAGACAGATCTTAGAAGAAAAATTAAGATTTTATAATTAAAAACAAGGAAAAAAAAGTAAAAATATAAAAAATGGACATGGACCTTAGAGGAAAAGTCACAATACTTAGAATAAAAATTAGAGAAAATTTTAAAGAAACACAATCTGAGACAATCTTGGAAATGGAAAACCTAAGGAAGAGAAAAGGAACTATAAGCATAAGCATCACCAACAGAATGAGGATACTAAGACAATAGAAATATGGACATTAGAAAAATTAGAGAAATTTATAAACAAAGGTGAGGGAGATACAAAGAATAAAGATATGGAGACAAAAAAGTTACAAAATATAATAAATAGAAATCCGGATACCAAAATAATAAAGATATGGAAATAAACACTAGAAGAAAAATTAGAAAATATAAATAAAAATGAGGATGATACTAAGAGACAGGAAAGTAAGCCAAATGTTATTAAACCAACTCTAGCTTATTCTGTTAGTCTACAACAAATTCCATGCTGGACATGTCTAAGTTTATAATGAATTTAAATGGCATCCCATAAAATGACTAGATTAAAAAAATTATAAGGATACAACTTTAACAAAAAATAATCTCTAAAAGTTTTAAGAAAAGCCAAAATGTCAGATGTCTTAACTGTGGCAAGCAAGGTCATTTAAAAAGGAGTTGTAGGCTGTGCTCCAACTTCCAGACATGCACCATTTCCCAGGCGCTATCCCCTTGTACAGTCCTGGACACTGCAGCCATCTTGGACAGCTCTTGGTGCACCTCATTTCCTGGACCCCATCTCTGCCTGCAATCCCAGAGACTGGCAGCAATCAGAGACTACCAGTTGTCTCTGTGTTTCCAGAGGCCAGCTATCACCCAAGAAGATCAGAGGACTGCTACTATCCAGGACCACCAGCTCTATCTACAATCATAGAGGCTCACTACCATCAAGCACCACCCAGTTTGCTAACACCAGAAGCAACCAGATGGCTAAAGGTCAGCATAAGAACACAAGCAACAAAATTCAGAGCCATATAGAACCCAACTATCCTATTTCAGCAAGCCCTGGATACCCTAACACACCTGAAACACAAGCAAACTATCTTAAATCTGATGTTATGAAAATGATAGAGGCCTTGAAAGAGGAAAATAAGTCTCTCAAAGAAATGTAGGAAAATACAATCAAACAGGTGAAGGAAATGAATAAATCTGTTAAAGAAATACACGAAAATACAGTCAAATGGGAGAAGGAAATAAATAAAATGCTCAAGATCTGAAAATGGAAATAGAAGCAATAAAGAAAACACAATGAGGCAATCCTGGAAATGGAAAACCTAGGGAAGAGAAAAGGAACTATAAGCGTAAGCATCACCAACAGAATATGAGATGGAGGAGAGAATCACAGGTGTAGAAGATATGATTGAAGAATAAATATGTCAGTCAAAGGAAATTTAAATCTAAAAATCAACAAGATAGACAAACCCTTAGCCAAACTAAAAGGCAGAGAGACAGTATCCAAATTAACAATCAGAAATGAAAAGGGACTGGGAGACAAAACAGCAAACACTGAGGAATTCCAAAGAATCATTAGGTCATACTTCAAATGCCTGTATTCTATAAAAGTCGGGAAAATCTAAAGAAAATGGATGATTTTCTTGATAGATTCAACTTACTTACCAAAGCTAAATCAAGAGCAAGCAGTTTAAACCAACATATAACCCCTAAGGAAATAGAAATAGTCATCAAAAGTCTTCCAACTATAAATGCCCAGGGCCAGATGGTTTTAGCACATAATTCTACTTTTAAAGAAGAGCTAATACCAATATTCCTCAAACTATTCCACAAAATAGAAACTGAAGGAACACTGTCAAACTCATTTTATAAAGTCACAGTCACCCTGATACCTAAACCACACAAAGACTCAACAAAAAAGTATTTTGGACCAATTTCCCTTGTAATTATTGATGTAAAAATACTCAATAAATACTTGCAAATTAAATCCAAGGGCAAATAAAATATCATCCACAATGATCAAGTTGGCTTCATCCAGGGATACAGGGATGGTTCAATATACAAAAATACATCAATCCATATAAACAAACTGAAAAAAAAATCCACATGATCATCTCATTAGATGCTGAAAAATCCTTAACACAACTTAACACCCCTTCATGATAAAAGTCTTGAAGAGATTTTGGATACAAGGCCTATACCTAAATGTTAAGGTATGGCAATACACAGCAAGCCAATAGCCAACATCAGATTTAATGGAGAGCAACTCAAAGCAATTCCACTAAATTCAGGGACAAGACAATGCTGCTCACTCTCCATATCCACTCCATATATAGTACTTGAAGTCCCAGCTAGAAGGTTAAGACAACTAACAAAATCAAGGGAATACAAATTGGAAAGGAAGAGGTCAAAGTATCACCATTTGCAGATGATAGGATAGTATACATAGGTGACAACCCCACCCCAATTCTTCCAGAGACCTTCTACAGCCGATAAGCACCTTCAGCAAAGTGGCTGGATACAAAATTAACCAAATTAGTAGCCCTCCTGTATACAAACGATAAATGGGTTGAGAAAGAAATTAGGGAAACAACACCCACCACAATAGTCACAAATAACATAAAGTACCTTGGTGTAACTCTAACAAAGCAAGTGAAAAACATGACAAGAACATCAAGTCTGAAAAAAGAAATTAAGATATCAGAAGATGGAAAGATCTCCCATCTTCATGGATCAGTATGATTAGTACGGATAGTAAAAATGGCCATCTTGCCAAAAGTAATCTATACATTCAATGCAATTCTCATCAAAATACCAACACAATTCCTTATAGAACTTGAAAGAACAATATTTAACTTCATATGGAAAAACAAAAGAACAAGAAGAGTTAGAAACAATCCTATAAAATAAAAGAACTTCTGGAGCTATCTCCATCCCTGAGTCCAAGCTGTACTACAGAGCAATAGTAATAATAATAATAACTGTAACATACTGGCATAGTAACAGACTGGTTGATCAATGGACTCAAATTGGACACCCAGACATAAACCCACACACCTATGGATGCTATTTATTTATTTATTTATTTATTTATTTATTTATTTATTTAACTTTACATAGAAGCTAAAACTATACATTGTTTTAAAAAAATCTTCAACAAATGGTGCTGGTCTTCCTGACTATCTGCATGAAGAAAAATGCAAATAGATCCATATTTGTCAGTCTGCACAAAACTCAAGCCCAACTGGGTCAGACCTCAACATAAACCAGAAACACTGAATCTATTAGAAGAGAAAGTAGGATTCAGCTTTGAACTCACTGGCACAGAAGACAACTTTCTGAACAGAACAGCACAGGCTCTGACAACAATTAATTAGCAATTAATCAACAATTAATAAATGGGATCTCATCAAATTGAGAAGCTTCTAAAATCAAAGAACACTGTCAAAATGGCAGCCGATAGATTGGGAAAAGATCTTCACCAACCCTATATCAGAGGGCTGATACCTAAAATACACAAAGAACTTAAACACTAGCAAATCAAAAAATCCAATTAAAAATGGGGCACAGAACTAAAGCAACAATTCACAAGAAGAATATTGAAGGCTGAGACACACTTAAAGAAATGCTCAGTGTCTTTAGCCATCAGAGAAATGCAAATCAAAATGACTCTGAGATTCCATCTTATACCAGTCAGAATGGTTAAGATCAAAAACTCAAATGACAACACATACTGGTGAGGATGTGGAGAAAAGAAAACCCTCCTCCATTGCTGGTGGGAGTGCAAACTTGTATAGCCTCTCTGGAAATCAATCTGTGGCTTTCTCAGAACATTTGGAATAGTTCTACCTCAAGAAGCAGCTATACCACTCCTGGGCATTTACCTAAAAGATGTTCCACCATACAACAAGGACACTTGCCCAACTATGTTCATAGCAGCTTTATTCATAATAGCCAGAAACTGGAAACAACCTAGACATCCCTCAACTGAAGAATGAATGAAGAAACTGTGGTACGTTTATGCAATGGAATACTACTCAGTCATTAAAAAGACAATCATGAAATTTGCAGGCAAGTGAATGGAACTAAAAAAGATCATCCTAAGTGAGGTAACCCAGATCCAGAAAAACACATGGTATGTATTTACTTATAAGTGGATATTAGACCTATAGTACAGGATAATCATACTACAATCTACAGACCCAAAAAAGCTAAGTAACAAAGAGGGTCCCAGGGAGGGGGGCTGGAATGTTCACTCAGGAGAAATAGAATAGACAATAGAAGTGGATGAAGAGAGGGAACTGGGCAGACGATGCAATGGGAAGGGAAGCAAAGGTAGGGTTTAGATGTGAGGAGGACGGGGTGGGAGGTGAGAGGGCTGGGAACAGGAAGGGAAACTGAGGATGGGGACATCTCTTTGTCAAGCTGGAGGCCCATGACAGGCTCTTGGAAGAAAATGGGTGTGACTCTAGCTGAGACTCTGAACAGGGGAGACATGAAGACTGAAGTGACCACCTCCTAGTCAGGGAGGACTAGTAGAAGGAGGGGAACAACAATCCACTGACAAAATCTGTGGTCCAAAAATTATCCTGCCTACAAGAAATGCAGGAATAAAGACAGAACAAAGATTGAGGAAATGTCCAA